ATGACCTTGGACTCCTACCTTGTCATTGCCCCACCTGCCACTCTGGGCACTGGGTCTAGCCAGGCCCCTCCCCCAAGTTTCTGTGACCCCTCCAGGCCAGGAGCGCTGAGGACTAAGCCCTGTTGTGTTGAGGCCCTGCTCTCAGACCTCTAACCACAAGCCCCACTCCCTATGCAGGTTCTTTTTGGCTTCTTTGAAGTCAGCCATGATCAAAGGCTGTCGAGAACCACCCTACCCCAGCATCCTGACGGATGCCACCATGGAGAAGCTGGCACTAGCCAAATTTGTGGCCCAGGAATCGAAGTGTGAAGTAAGCACCTGGGGAGGAAGGTGGCTGCAATCCCTGAAATAGCAGTGCAGCAGCCAGCCTCGGCGTGAGGCTTAAGGGACGCAAATAGATGTCTTCGGCATTTTACAAATGCCTACCTGGGCAGGTGGGGCTTTCCTACCCTGGAAAGGAGGAAGGTCATGTCCTCCGTCCTACTTCAGGTGTGTCCTAAGTCTAAAACACCCTTGCTCTTGGCTACCCCAGGCGCCAGACCATCTATGAGCCGATTCCAGGCTCAGCCACCTGCCTAGCCCAGGGCTCACTTGCTTTGTCTGCTGCCCCCCTCCCCCCACCGCCGCAGGCATCTGCTGTCACTGTGCACTTCTATGGGCTTGTGCACTGGGAGGACCCCACCGATGAGTCCCTGGGCCCCACCCCCTGCCACTGCTCACCCCCTGAGGGCACCATCACCAAAGAAGGCATGCTGCACTACAAGGCGGGCACTTCCTACCTGGGCAAGGAACACTGGAAGACATGCTTCGTGGTGCTCAGGTAAGCCCGGGAAGCTCCAGGCCTTGGGCTGGGTCCTGGGGTATCTGGGCTGTCAGGTCCCCAGCGGGGATCTCTCTGCAGCAGGTCACTGAGGAGAGGATGCTTCCCTTCCCTACAAGAGCTTGGAGGAGACCTAGCTCAGGGTGTTAGCGTCTCTGTAGAGCCAGTCATCTTTGGGGACCCGGGAATCCCTGAGTGCCTCAGGAGAGGATGCAGGCTTTGTCTCCCTGATAAACCTTGAGATGTGCTCCAGGTCTGCTGAGGTGGCCACGTTCCCTGCTGGGCCCCCAGGTCCTTCTTCACCCTCCCTTCCATAGGTGACAGCCACTGGCCTCCTTTGCCGGAGGTTCATGGCCACAGCTTGCATGTGGCAGGGGAACCCTGGGATCTGGGCTCCTGGGACAGGCCTTACCCACCCTGTGTTGTGCCCCTGCAGCAATGGGATCCTCTACCAGTACCCGGACCGCACTGACGTCATCCCTCTGCTCTCGGTGAACATGGGGTGAGTGCAGGAGATGGGGGCTGTACCCTGGGGCCCAGAGCTGCTGTCTCCCTGGTTCAAGATGGCCCCCCTCTTGGAGTTCAGCCTCGCCATCAGCCCCAGCCTATCCAGCTGCCCTGACAGGTGGCCTGGGGCGTCCATGCTCTTAGGGTTGCGAGGAACCCACAGGAGGGGAGGAGGGAGGCAGCAAGGAGCTCCTGGCTGAGAACAGGTCCAGTCTGATGGGGGAGGCAGGCCCTTCCCCAGAAGTTCCCAGCCTGATGGGAGGTGGACACTCGGGTACTTGGAAGGAACAGTGGGCCCTCAAGAGGAAGCACTCATGAATGAATGCGGCCGATTCTCAGTGGGCTGGAGGGAAAGCTGATTCCCAGCCTCACCTGGCTATGCTTGGGTATCTAGTAGATCTTGGGTATTCTGGAGATGAAAGGTGTTACACAGAAATGGGTGGGGCTCCCAGACCTCTCCTGGAAGCTGGAAGGGTCTGGAGAAACTTCTGGTGTCCTCCAGCCCCCAGGACGGTGGGGCAGACCCTGCGTCACACACCCCGCACCCCGTGCTGCCCTTGCCTCCTCGCTCCCGTTTCACCCTCCTCCTCTGGCCCAGGGGGGAGCAGTGCGGTGGCTGCCGGAGAGCCAACACCACGGATCGGCCCCACGCCTTCCAGGTCATTCTCTCCGACCGGCCCTGCCTGGAGCTGAGTGCCGAGAGTGAGGCCGAGATGGCCGATTGGATGCAGCACCTCTGCCAGGCCGTGTCCAAAGGGGTGAGCTCTACCTGCCTCCACCGCTCACCTGGCTTGCCTGACCCACCCAGGACCCCCAAGGCCCCATCCGTAAACCCAGTCACAGAGCAACCGCAGGGCCAAGACAGACCTCCAGGGGGCAGCCCAGGAACGGACCCTGGCGCTCAGGACCACCTGCAGCCTGGAGCACTCCTACCATCACCCCCACCCCCACCTCTGCTCCCGATCCCTGGAGGGAGAGCAGAAGGGCTGGCTGGGTCCCCTGGCATGGGGAGTTCCAGTGCAGACCAGCCCTGGAGGCCCAGCCTGCCTCTCCCCCGCCCTGCTGCCAGGTCATCCCCCAGGGTGTAGCTCCCAGCCCCTGCCTCCCCTGCTGCCTGGTTGTCACGGATGACTGCCTCTTCACGTGCCATGAGGATTGCCAGACCAGCTTCTTTCGCTCTTTGGGCACAGCCAAGCTGGGCGATATCAGCGCCGTCTCCACCGAGCCGGGCAAGGAGTACTGTGTCTTGGTGAGCTAGGGTGGGGAGCGGGGCACCCACCCACAGGCCCTGCAGAAGGAAAGCTCTGTCTGCTCACCTGGGGGTCTGGCTCTCCCTAGGAGTTCTCCCAGGACAGCCAGCAGCTCCTCCCACCCTGGGTCATCTACCTGAGCTGCACTTCTGAACTGGACCGATTGCTGTCTGCACTGAACTCTGGGTGGAAAACCATCTACCAGGTACCCAGCTGCCCAGGAAACCCATCAGCCAGGGACCCTGTCGAGTGGGAGCCACGCCCCAGAGAGAGAGGAACCCTGGCTGCTCCCAGGACTGGCCTCTAGGGTCCTGGGCACAGCAGTATACCAGGGCGCCCCTGCCTCCACAGCCCTGGGGATGAGTGCCTGCTGCTCTCAAAACAAACCCAGGAGAATCCAAGCTGTGCTCACCGCCTCTTGCTGAGCCACCCCTTCCTGGGCTGTCCAGAGGGTGACAAGCCTGCCACGCCAGGGAGCCCAAGGCCCTCAAGCCACTCAGCATTGCTGCCTCAAGGACCCGGGTGGGAAGGAGTGGGCTCCAGGAGGTGGGTGGGGGACTCTACCCCAGGTGGCTCTGCCTCTGGTTTGGACTGGGCCTTGGGTGATTGAGGGTGGCTAGGAAGGAGAGAGCTGTCTGGGGGCAGAGGCCCAGGTGGGCATGGTGGTGCTGGCCCCAGCCTGAGCAGACACACTGGACAGGCACAAAAACTTAGAACTAAAGAGGCAAAAACCTGACTCCCAGTGAGTCTGAAGCTAAAGCTGAAAACAGAACCCAAGAAACTCAATTCCTGACCTCAGTTTCAATCAAACAGCACAAATTGTGGTGGGCCTACAGCTGTGTTCAGATGGCGGGGCACAGGATGGGCAGTACCCTCTTCCTTGCCCTTAAGGCTTAGCGCCAGTGTGGGAGGGTACTCGTGAGATGCCTGCACAAGTGGGTTTTGAGCACATGCTGTGTGCTAGCCCTGTGGAAGCCAGGACTAGCCAGAGGCAGAGAACAGCCCAGGACTGACATACTCCCTGCAGAGCCAACAGAGTGCTGCACCTGCCTCTCTGGGCCATCCTAAGAGCTGGGGCCTTCCCAGGAAAGAGGGGCTGCAGGAGGCACTACCCCATGCCCAGCTCAAGCCCCTGAAAGAGCAAGAGAACCTAGCAGCGGGAAAGCTGTTCCCAGAGAGTGATGGGGAGGGTCAGACAGGGGCTCCGTGGCCAAGGCAGAGCCAGGCCTGGTGCCCATAAGCCCTGAAGGCCCCTGCGGCCCTCATCTGTTCTCTGCACGCCCCCAACACAGGTGGACCTCCCCCACACAGCGATCCAGGAAGCCTCCAACAAGAAGAAATTCGAGGATGCCTTGAGCCTCATCCACAGCGCCTGGCAGCGGAGCGACAGCCTCTGTCGAGGCCGAGCCTCCCGGGACCCCTGGTGCTGAGGCAGAGCTGGTTGGCATCCCCAGTGGGCAGGAAAGGAAGGCATGCCAACCGGCAGGCACACTGTCAACGGCTGTCGCCATGCTGTTGAAAGCCTACAGCCCACCCCCGCCCCAGGCGGCAGCACCACCGAGTGTGGCTTAAGGCAGAGAGTTTCTCCACTCCAGGGATCCAGAACGGGTCCCCAGCACCCCTGGGCATCCTGCCCGACAGGTGGCGGATGGAGGTCACTGGGGTCACAGGGCTCTGCAGATGCACACCCTCCTCCGGGCCTCCGCCTCAGTCTGTAGAATCTGCGGAGTGGCACTGAGAACAGCATGGATCTAAGGAACAGCAAAAGAAACAGGAGGGCGGAAGCCACCTCTTCCTCTGCTGGGTCAGGGGCCCAGTCAGAGGCTCAGGGCTGCCTGGGGGCCCTGAGTGCCCAGCCATCCTTGTTCGTGTTTGGACACTCCCCTGGCCACGTGGGGAAGCGGGAACATGGGGTGTCTGCGCATGCTTCCTCCTCCTAGCTCCATCACTGCGCACACAGCTGCCTGCCTCACCAGATGCAGGGGCAGTGGCCCTCCCTGGCTGTCAGGAGGCCCTGCATGCCCACGGCCCTGCCCTGCCTCTCCCTTCAACCCGGCAGTGCCTGTAGCACCCAGGAGCAAAACGGATGGATGGGGGGCTTGGAGAAGGGCAGAGCTACCAGCCTGGCATCCATGTAGACATCTCCTGACTGCCCCTGCTTGGCTGGAGCCAGGCCCTTCCTAGAGTTTTGTCAAGAGCCTCCTGGGGAAGGGGTCAGGTGGTGTGGGTTTTGTTTTTTAAAATAAAATAGACGTTATATTGCCGAGGCTTGTCACTGGCCCTTTTTGAGCATGGTAGGGGAAGGGAGGTCTCTAAACCCCCTAAGCCCTTTTTCTGCAAACATCCCTCCATTATCTGCCCTGTCCGTGACACAGGACACGTGCGACATGCAGAACCCGATCAGCCACAGCTGCCGGGTGACACAGGACACGTGCGACATGCAGAACCCGATCAGCCACAGCTGCCGGGTGGACTCACGGTCTGCAGGCCCTCAGGCTCTGGGATTTTCTCGGCCTGACCTTTGCCCTCCCTCCTGTTCCTGTTTGCTGCAGCAACCAGGGGAGGAGCAGCCACCAGCTCCAGTCCCAAGGCGCATCTGCACTGCTGCCCACCTGCCCACCACCTGCAGTCTCCCCTGGGCAGGGCACTCCTGACCCGACAGCCCCCGGAGTGAGTGCCTGCTGCTCTCGAAACAAACCCAGGAGAATCCAAGCTGTCCTCGCTGCCTCTTCCTGAGCCCTCCCCTCCTTGGCTGTCCAGAGGATGACAAGCCTGCCTGGCTGGGGAACCCAAGACCCTCAAGCCACTCAGCATTGCTACCTCAAGGGCCTGGGCAGGAAGGGGTGGGCCCCGGGAGGCGGGTGTGGACTCCAGCCCTGGTGGCCCTACCTCTGGTTTGGAATGGGCCTTGGGTGATTGAGGGTGGCCTGGCAGGAAAGAACTGTCTGGGGGCAGAGGCCCAGGTGAGCACGGCGGTGCTGGCCCCAGCCTGAGCAGACACACCTGACAGCAGGCCTGGGTGGCTTTCTCTCCTCACCAGGGCTGCCTCCTGTCCCACTGGCCACCTGGCCATTCCTGCAGGGAGTAGCCGAGCCTCCTGCCCAGCCCAGGAGGAGCTCCCCCAGCAGGAGGGCAGGCCTGGCAGCAAGTCTTTACCAGCCAAGGTCACTCTCGAGTCCTCCTCACCCAGGGCCCTGAAGTCCTGGGGGAAGCGAGGGGAGCATAGGAGCCAGAGGCAGTGGGGATGGTGGCCAGCAGCAGATGTGGGTGCCTTTTGTTGGGTGCAGCACTGTCCTAGGCACACTATTCTCATTGCCAGTCCTCCACAGAACCTTCTGGAGTGATGTCAGTATCTCCATTTCACAAATGAGAGAAACTGAAGCACTGAGAGGAAGTGACTTGCCCAGGTTCGCACATAAGAGCGGCACCTGGGATTCCAGTCAGCTCCCAGGGCTCCAGAGCCCTTCTGTACCTCTGCCCCTGCTGAGCCTGGGCCTGTAGATGGTGGGAGCCAGACTGGAAGACTGAGTCCTGGAAAGGGAAAGTCAGTCACCAGGGGCACATCAGGGATGGGTGAGGCAGGGGCGGTGTTGCCCATGTACCCCATGCCAGGGACTTCCCAGTCACTTGCCCCCCTGCCCAGGGCTCTGCCAAAGCTGGACAGGCTAAACTAGAGGCAAGGCAGGGGTACCGGCCCTTTGCCCAGGACCACAGGGAGGCCAGGAGGAGATGCCTGGGCTGGCTGGCACCTTCTCCCTACCCTCGCTCTCCTTCCAGTCCCAAGTGACCTTTCCCCCAGATCCCAGGGTGCAGGCCCGCCCTTTGCTGGAAGGTGTGGTGACAGAGGCAGCTGGGATTGGTCACAGCCGGTGGAGGCGTGTCAAAGGCTCCGACAGACCCCTGGAGAAGCTGAGCAGAGCAGGTGGACTCCTGAGATAGACCAGGGCCTCCAGGCAGCCACGGGCCTGTCAGACCAGGACGCTTGCCCTCTAGACATGGCCTCGGGCCTCGGCAAACCCCAGCCCCATGGCCCTGTGAGGTTACAGACAGCCTAAACGCCACCACCACAGGGCCTGTGCCATGCCCCTGACCCGGGCACAGAAGGCCACTGGCCCAGAGGCCGGGGAGACAGTGCCCCCAGCAGTGGACCTGGTGTTGGGTGCCTCGGCCTGCTGCCTGGCCTGTGTCTTCACCAACCCCCTGGAGGTGGTGAAGACGCGGCTGCAATTGCAGGGGGAGCTGCAAGCCCGGGGAACCTACCCACGGCCCTACCGGGGCTTCATGGCCTCTGTGGCTGCCGTGGCCCGAGCAGACGGGCTGTGGGGCCTGCAGAAGGGGCTGGCTGCCGGCCTGCTGTACCAAGGCCTCATGAACAGCGTCCGTTTCTACTGCTACAGCCTGGCATGCCAGGCTGGCCTCACGCAGCAGCCAGGTGGCATTGTGGTTGCGGGAGCCGTGGCAGGGGCCCTAGGAGCCTTCGTGGGGAGCCCTGCTTACCTGGTGAGTCCTTGTCTCCATCCTCCACCATCCCGTGACCCATATCCCACAGGGGCCCAGCAGCCTGCAAGGCTGGGCTCAGTGGACCTGGGTGGGGTAGGGCAGCCTGGGTGGGGCTGCTCCCTGGAACATCCTGGCCCAGGCCTGGAATCTGCCCCTTGGCCCAGGACACCAGGGCCCTGCCCTGATCCATGCTCTCCTGGGGACCCTGACCCACTGGTCCTGAACCAAGGGAGGGGCAGAGGGTGGCAGATGTGCTGGCTCAATCCTGGCTGGGTTACTTCTCTTCCTGTGTTGCCTCATGTATGTTAACAATAAAAGCTACCCGGCTGGGCACAGTGGCTCACACCTGTAATCCCAGCACTTTGGGAGGCTGAGGCAGAAGGATCACAAGGTCAGGAGTTCAAGACCAGCCTGACCAACACGATGAAACCCTGTCTCTACTAAAAATACAAAAATTAGCAGGGTGTGATGGCACGCGCCTATAATCCCATCTGCTCAGGAGGCTGAGGCAGGAGAATTGCTTGAACCTGGGAGGCAGAGGTTGCAGTGAGCCAGGATCACACTACTGCATTCCAGCCTGGGCGACAGTGAAACTCCATCTCAAAAAACAAAACAAAACAAAAGAATAAAAGCGCCAGGCGCGGTGGCTGACGCCTGTAATCCTAGCACTTTGGGAGACCGAGGTGGGTGGATCACCTGAGGTCAGGAGTTCAAGACCAGCCTGGCCATCTTGGTGAAACCCCATCTTAAAATAAATAAATATATAAATAAATAAAAGCTACCCTTGATGGCCTCCTCTTGTGCACTCTGCAGGGGCACCTCAGGACCACCCCAAAAAAATAAAGATTTTTTTTTCTTTTTTTTTTTTTTTGAGACAGAGTTTCACTCTTGTTACCCAGGCTGGAGTGCAATGGCGCGATCTCGGCTCACCGCAACCTCCGCCTCCTGAGTTCAGGCAATTCTCCTGCCTCAGCCTCCTGAGTAGCTGGGATTACAGGCACGCGCCACCGTGCCCAGCTAATTTTTTGTAGTTTTTAGTACAGACGGGGTTTCACCGTGTTGACCAGGATGGTCTCGATCTCTTGACCTCATGATCCACCCGCCTCGGCCTCCCAAAGTGCTGGGATTACAGGCATGAGCCACCGCGCCCGGCCTAAAATAAAGATTTTTTTGAAAAAAGCTACCATGGGCTGGGCGCAGTGGCTCAAGCCTGTAATCCCAGCACTTTGGGAGGCCAAGGTGGGCAGATCACCTGAGGTCAGGAGTTTGAGACCAGCCTGACCAACAGGGTGAAATCCTGTCTCTACTAAAAAGTACAAAAATTAACTGGGCATGGCGGTGCATGCCTAGAAATCCCAACTACTGGGGAGGCTGAGGCAGGAGAATCGCCTGGGCCCAGGAGGCAGAGGTTGCAGTGAGCTGAGGTCGTGGCACTGCACTTTAGCCTGTGCCACAGAAAAAAAGCTACCCTTGAGAAAGGCTCCCCTCCTCGGCTGGTGCTGGACAGTCGTTGCCTCACTTAATCCTCAGAACAGCTTTCCAGCCATGACAGAACCACCCAGAGAGGGTTCCGTAACTTGCTCTGAGTCACACCAAGATGCAAAACCCAGGCTGACCCCAGAGCTGCACCTCCACCCTATTCCACAGCACCCTGAAGCTTCAGGCTCGGGACCATGGAGCTCTGAGTTTCAGGGGCACAGAGGTGGGGGCACCCTCAACACACACAGCTCGTCCCAGCTCTCCCAAGCTCCATCCCCAAACCCCATGTCCCCTCTGCTCCCACAGATCAAAACACAGCTGCAAGCCCAGACAGTGGCTGAGATGGCCGTGGGACACCAGCACAATCACCAGGTGAGGCCCTGGTCACTCCCAGAGCTCACTGGCGGCATGGACTGGGCATGCTCCCAGCCTGGGCAGGGGCTGGCCAGTGACCCCGAGCCCTCTCCCCACAGACCCTCCTGGGTGCCTTGGAGACCATCTGGCGGCAGCAGGGTCTGGTCGGGCTGTGGCAGGGCGTGGGTGGGGCTGTGCCCCGAGTCATGGTGGGCTCAGCTGCCCAGCTGGCCACCTTCGCCTCTGCCAAGGCCTGGGTGCAGGAACAACAGGTGAGGAGCTGGGGACCCCTGTGCCCACCCACACAGACACACGGGACTGAGGGGCCACCTGCCTCCTTTCACATGGAGAAGACTGGGTGTGGCAACAGATGGGGCCCCGCCTCTGCCCTCAGAGTGGTGACTCCAGCTCTTGGTACCAGCAGGAGTGGGGGGTCAGCAGTGAACCCCAAAGCTGAGAAGGAGCTCAGGGTGGCAGGGCTGGGGGATGGCTAGAGGGGCCTCATCTGCTCCCCTTTCCGCAGCCCTTCTAGCCCCTGTGTAGTAGGAGGCTGGGAGGGTACCACGTGGGTGGGTAGAGGGCATTTGCAGGGGTCAGCACCTGTGCCATCCCCACAGTGGCTCCCGGCAGACAGCTGGCTGGTGGCCCTGGCTGGGGGCATGATCAGCAGCATAGCCGTGGTTGTCGTCATGACCCCCTTCGATGTGGCCAGCACGCGGCTATACAATCAGCCAGTGGACAGAGCTGGCAGGGTGAGCAGGGATGGGTCTAAGGGAGGATGTGGGGAGCTGGGAGCACACCCCAACACACACACACACACACACACACACACACACAGAGCCAGAGACACACAAACACAGGCCATGCATGCAAACACTAACTGGGCTTGTTTGCTGAGTCCCCATGTCCCAGGCACAGGCTAAGCACTTTCACATCCAGATTTTATTCTATCCTTATAATCATATTCATCTTCCTGATGAGGAAACAGGTTCAGACAGATCAAGTGACTTGCATGAGGCCCCCCAGCCGGTAAGTGGAGGAGCCAGTACTAGAATTCAGGCCTGATCCCACGGCCTTCCCAGCAGCCTCACAGATGTGTCCAATCAAAGGTACTGTCCACAGGGTGTGCAGGGGTGAAATTGACCCTTGTGCCAAGATGTGGTATGAGCCAGGGCCCCACGGTCCCTGTAGTGACACCCACCGCATGTCTGTCCCCAGGGCCAGCTGTATGGGGGCCTCACCAACTGCATGGTGAAGATCTGGCAGCAGGAGGGCCCCCTGGCACTCTACAAAGGCCTGGGCCCCGCCTACCTGCGCCTGGGCCCCCACACCATCCTCAGCATGCTCTTCTGGGACGAGCTTCGGAAATTGGCTGGGCGGGCCCAGCACCAGGGCACCTAGGCGGCGGCCCTCATCCCCATGTCCTGACATGGCCTGGCACTTGGCCAGAAGTGAGGGCCTGCCCTGGCACGACCGGCTGTCCCAGGAGGGACCACAGGCCCAGGCCCTGCCACAGACCCCAGGAGAGTGTGGAGCAGCTCTGGCACCCAGCCCATGGCCCACCCAGGGCCAGAACATCCACTTCAAGTTACCACCCATTCTGTCTTCCAGAGAGTTCTCTTCCTTCTCTGCACTGGGTCTCCGCATCCCAGAGCCTTACTCAGTCATAACAACTGCCGCAGGCATGCACACAGCATGGGCCCAGGGACTTACATCCATCAGCTCACTCAGGCCTCAGAAAGCAGCTCAAGGCAGACATTTTGCCCTCTTTTATCATCAGAAAGCAGAGGCTGAGAGCAGTGATGTGGCTTTGACCACAGCCACATGACTTTGAAGTACAGAGCCAGGACTGGAACTTAGCCCTGCTTACCCCAGACCTATGCACTTGACAAGTGTGTGACTGTGCCAGGCCCGTGGGCCGGGACTGCCCTGAGGGATCACTGTGTATGGCGAGAGCTGGGATGCACCCGGAGCCTGCACTGTTGTCACCTGCCTCATTTGCTGGGGCAGCCGTAACAAAGAACCACAGACTGGGTGACGTAGACTAGAGAAATCTATTTTCTCACAGTTCTGGAGGCTGGATGCTCGAGACCAAGGTATCAGCGGGCTGGTTTCATCTGAGGCCTCTCCCCATGACTTGCAGATGCCGCCTTCTCCCTGTGTCTGCACGTGGTGGTCCCTTGTGTGGGTGTGAGTCCGGGTCCTGATCTCCTCCTATTTTTTTTGTTGTTATTGTTGTTACAGAGTCTCTCTGTTGCCCGGGCTGGAGTGCAGTGGTGTGATCTCGGTTCACTGCAATCTCTGCCTCCTAGGTTCAATCAATTCTCCTGCCTCAGCCTCCTGAGTAGCTGAGATTACAGGCGTGCACCACCACGCCCAGCTAATTTTTATATTTTTAGTAGAGACAAGGTTTCATCTTGTTGGTCAGGTTGGTGTTGAACTCCTGACCTCATGATCTGCCCACCCTGGCCTCCCAAAGTGCTGAGATTACAGGCATGAGCCACCATGCCCAGCCCTGATCTCCTCCTCTTATAAGGACACAAATCATGTTGGCTTAGGGCCCATCCTCATGACCACACTTTAACTTTTTCTTTTTTTTTTTTTTTTTTGAGACAAAGTCTCACCCTGTCACCTAAACTGGAGTGCAGTGGCACAATCTCGGCTCACTGCAACCTCCGCCTCCCAGGTTCCAGCAGTTCTCCTGCCCCAGCTTCCTGGGTAGCTAGAATTACAGGTGGCCACCACTACCCTCCGCTAATTTTTGAATTTTTAGCAGAGATGGGGTTTCACCATGTTGGCTAGACTGGTCTTAAACTCCTGACCTCAGGTGATCCACTGGTCTCGGCCTCCCATAGTGCTGGGATCACAGGCATGAGCCACCTCATTTTAACTTGGCCTCATTTTAACTTAATTATCTCTGTCAAGACCCTATCCCCATATACAGTGGCATCCAGAGCTGCTGGGGGAGGATTAAACATTAAACATGCACATTTGCAGGGGCCGCAGTTCAGCCAGCACCATGTAATGGCTCTCACGGAGGGCCTGCCAGCTGCCCTCACTGTGGCCATTTGCACACATCCCGACAAACCTGAAAGGCGCTCCAGGTGCCCCCTGTTCAGATGAGGGGACTGAAACCCTGGAAAGGGAAGCAATGTGGCAGGGCCAGCAGCAGGCCGTGGGCCCCTTCTCCAGACTGAGCACCGCTCCCCACGGGCGTGCTCTCAACGCCACACCAGCCTCTACACTGCAGAGATGGACAGCAGCTCCGTGGCAGGGGCAGGATGGCCTGGGCCCACCCCCACCTCCCCCCCCCACCTCTCCCCCCACCTTCCCCCACCACACCCCGTCTGTAAGGGCTGCTCCCAGGAACACCTGCTGCTGCACGCTCCAAAACAATAAAGTTTTCTACTTTGTTTACTTCAATGACCCCCCTCTGCGGTCAATCTCAGTCTCCCCCATCCCTGACCCCCACCCTCGGCTCCCTCTGCCCTTTCTGTCTGTGAAAGCAGGATGGGAACGCTGCCCACCTGCTCAGCCCCGCCCTGCCAGACCCGGGTGAGGCCTGCCACCTAGTGGACCTGGGGAGGAGCATCAAGAAGGGCTGCCGCGGCCTGCGGGAAGGGAAGGCTCAGGCAGGCTCGGGCCTCGGGAGATCCCACACCAGCCGGAGCCAGACCAAAGGCTCTGGGAAGCTGGAGCCGACCTCACAAAAAGCAGGCAGAGCTGACCTCCAGCTGTGGTGGGAGAGAGTCCCAGACCTCAGGCTGAGGGGGAGAGAGAGCCCCAGACCTCAGGCTGAGGGGGCGGGAGAGCCCCAGACCTCGGGCTGAGAGGGAGGGAGAGCCCCAGACCTCGGGCTGAGGGGGAGGGAGAGCCCCAGACCTCGGGCTGGGGGGCAAAGCCTGACCTCCTGCTGTAGGAGGGTAGAGCCCCAGACTTCAGGCTGAGAGGGCACAGCTGATCTCTGGCTATGGGGGGATAAGTCCTACCCTCAGACCTTGGGCTAAAGGGGCAGAGCCCACACTTCACGCTGCGAGAGGCCAGGACCCACACCTAAGGCTGGGCAGCACAGATGGAGCCTGGGGCTTCCAGGGGGCATTGGGTGGTCCAAAGCCTCAAGGAAGATTTCAAGTAAAGTGGATGCCAGACTTTGGCAGGGACCAGACCAGAGACCAGAGACCAGCCAGAGGTACCTGCCCCTCACCCCACGCTGCCCAAATGGCTGGCTCCAGATTCCCCCTGTGCCTGGAGCTGGGATCTTGCCCTTCTGGGCCTCAAAGGGTTAACGCCCCTGGCGCTCCTCCCCTCCCTTCCCCTGGCCTTTGACCCCTCCCAGCCTCTCCCCTCCACTGACACCTTTGCCCTGTCCCTGTGCAGATCTGGCCGGAGGCTGAGGCTGGTTCCCGGGGTGCCATGTTCTCCCTGCCGTCCCTCCCCTCCTGGCTCCCTGGCCTCCCCTCCCTCGAGTGGGGCTCCAGCCTCCTCGACTCCCTCCTACAAGGTGAGCCCCTTGCCCATTCCCACCTCGGCCCTGCCCCCTTCCAGCTCTTCTTGGCACAAGGTGGACCTCACCCACACGGTCTTCCACCACCCCCACCCTATGGCCGCCCCCACCTCTGACCCTATCAACCAAGCCTGCCCCCCTGACACCCCTGCATGCCCCCTCAGGCCTGGTCGGGGCCCTTGGAGTCTTGGTCCTGAACAGCCTCCTGAAAGTTTACTTCTTCGTGGGCTGTGCCAAGTGAGTGCCCACCTCATCCCCTGGGGGTGTGGCTGGGGACCCCACCCCCAACAGGGGTCTAGGGCGGTTCTGCACCCCTGGCCACAACCATTCTGTCCCCACAGTGACCCGCAGCGGCGGCCGGAAAAGGAGCGGTTGCGGACCCAGTGGGCCTCGCTGGAAATGGTGCACCTGGCAGGGCTGGCCCTGTTCCTGACAGTCGTGGGGTCCCGGGTGGCTGCCCTCGTGGTGCTCGAGTTCTCCCTCCGGGCCGTGTCCACACTGCTGTCCCTGGGCAAGGTGAGGCCTCAGGGAAGGCAGTGGGTGGATCACTCCGCAGCCTAGGGCCTGGACTCACCCCCGGAACGTGGGCAGCAGGGCCCAGCTCCAGCATCCCAGCCTCTTCACCGTATTTGCCCTAAGACTGAGAACAGAGGCTGCAGGACGCACCCTTGGGCTTGGTTGCTGAAGCAGCCACACTCACGGGGGATGCGATCCCAGTCCCAAGATGACGAGAGCGACAGCTCCTGTGGATCGGGCTCCCCCAATGCCAGGCCCTGCGCCAAATGCGTTGTGTGCATCACGTCATCCTCACAGCCACAGGGATGAAGGTTTGCTGGGATTCCCCATTTCATTTCACAGATGAGGGAACTAAGGCTCAGAGAGATCACGTGGCTTGTCTATGGTCAACAGGCAGAGTCAGGCTTTGAACCCAGGGCTCTGAGATTCTCAACCACCACCCTTCAGCTAACAGATGGGCCCCAAGTACTAAGATGTGACTGACGGCCCAGCACGGTGGCTTACCCCTGTAATCCCAGCACTTTGGGAGGCTGAGAGGTTAGGATTTCGAGACTAGCCTGGCCAACATGGAGAAACACCATCTCTACTAAAACAATAAAATAAACGGGTAGCTCATGCCTGTAATCTCAGCATTTTGGGAGGCCGAGGCGAGTAGATCACGAGGTCACCAGTTCAAGACCAACCTGGTCAACATGGTGAAACTGCATCTCTACTAAAAACACAAAAAAATTAGCTGGGTGTGGTGGTGTTTGCCTGTAATCCCAGCTACTCAGGAGGCTGAGGCAAGAGAATTGCTGAACCTGAGAGGCAGAGAGGTTGCAGTGAGCCGAGATCAGGCCACTGCACTCCAGCCTGGGTGATAGAGCATGAGTCCGTCTCAAAAAATAAAAAATAAAAATTAGCCAGGCATGGTGGTGAGCACCTGTAATCCCAGCTACTCAGGAGGCTGGGGCAGGCAAATCTCTTGAACCCAGGAGGCAGAGCTTGCCGTGAGCAGAGATCATGCCATTGCACTTCAGCCTAGGTGACGGAGCAAGACTCTGTCTCAAAAAAAAAGAGAGACGTGATTGAAATTAAGGTGAGAGAGATGATCCCCTAGGGCTTCATCTGAAGCGGATGTGGCCCCTTTGGGAACCGTCCCCAAGGTCAGCCTCCTGTGGCGTGCGACATCTGTAGTGGGGCAGTCCCCACATCTCCGGCCTCTCTTCTGCCACTCCCCACAGGGCTCCCGGGGCCCTGAGAGGCTGCAGCTCTACCTGCTGTGCCAGTACTCGCTGGGCTGCGGGCTGAGCTGCGGCCTGAGCTTCCTGCAGGAGGGCGCCCCTCACCGCACGCTGAACCTGCTGCTCAGCCTCGGGCTGGCCACGCTGCTGGGCCTGGGCGCCCGGCGCCTCCACCGCCACGTCTGCCGCCTCTACGAGCTGCACAGCAGCCAGCGCTACTGTGGGGTGTGCCTGGGCCTGCTGGCCGGTGTGCACGACCTCCCCCGGCTGCTGGGCCGCGCCCTGGCCGTGGCCTTTGCCGTGGGTGACCTGGCAGCAGTGGCCCTCATCAACCGGGACTTTCTGACCACCTCGGAGGCTGTGCGGTTCTGGACGCCGCTCACCATCTGCTACACGCTGCTGGTCATCTACATGCAGGGTGAGCGCGGGGCTACTCGTTGCATCCATGCACATCCCTCTGCCTGCGCCGGACTCCAGGGAGGCCACCAGCCAACAGCTCTCACCCTTGCCATCCCAGAGAGCCTGGTCAGGGTAGAGGCTGTGTGGCACGGGCAGTGCAGAGAAGCAGCATGCGGTGGGTGCCCTGAGGTGGAAGCCTCTAGATTGGGGCTTGAAGGATGAGTAGGAGATCCCTAAGAGAACCGAGGCAGGGGCTGGGCACGGTGGTTCACACCTGTAATCCCTGCACTTTGGGAGGTCAAGATAGACGGATCACCTGAGCTCAGGAGTTCGTAACCAGCCTGTGCAACATGGTAAAACCTCGTCTCTACTAAAAAAAATACAAAAAATTAGTCGGGCGTGGTGGCGTGTGCCTGTAGTCCCAGCTACCTGGGAGGCTGAGGCAAGAGAATTGATTGGACCCAGGAGGTGGAGGTTGCAGAGATCACACCACTGCACTCCAGCTGGGCAACAGAGCAAGACTCCGTCTCAAAAAATAAATAAATAAGGAAGCGAGGCAGGGAAGGGAATCTTGGGCAGAGAGCGCCGCATGCGCCAACGCCCAGAGGGGACAGAGGGCATGGCAGCATCAAACAAGCCACTGGAGTCCAGTGTGACTGTCACCCCCACGGCATGGCGAAGGGGTGAGCCTGGCCAGGTTCGAAGGAGCCTGTTGGAGAGCCCTCATCAGTCTGATGAGACACCGCTGTACAGGTTTTTTTGTGTTTTTGTTTTGTTTTGCTTTTCTGTTTTTTTGAGACAAGGTCTGGCTTGGTGGCCCAGGCTGGAGTGCAGTGGCACAATCACAGCTGACTGCAGCCTTGACCTTCTAGGCTCAAGTGATTCTCCCACCTCAGCCTCCCAAGTAGTGGGGACTATAGACACGCACCATCATACCAGGCGAATTTTATTTTTTGTAGAGAAGAGGTCAGCTGGGCACTGTGGCTCATGCCTGTAATCCCAGCACTTTGGAAAGCTGAGACAGGCAAATCATAGAGGTCAGGTGTTCAAGACCAGCCTAACCAACATGGTGAAACCCTGCCTGTACTAAAAATACAAAATTAGCCTGGTGTGGTGGTCTGTGCCTGTAATCCCAGGCACTCAGGACATGAGAATCGCTTGAAACTGGGAGGCACAGTGGCTCATGCTTGTAATCCCAGCACTTTGGGAGGCCGAGGCAAGCAGATCACCTGAGGTCAGGAGTTTGAGACCAACCAGCCATTATGGTGAAACCCCATCTTTACTAAAAATACAAAAATTAGCTGGGCGTAACGGTGGGCGCCTGTGATTCCAGCTACTCGGAAAGCTCAGGCAGGGAGAACTGCTTGAACCTGGGAGCCAGAGGTTGCAGTGAGCCAAGATCGAACCACTGCACTCCAGCCTGGGCAACAGAGCAAGACTCTGTCTCTAAATAAATAAATAAAGGGATCTTGCCACGTTGCCCAGGCTGGTCTTGAACTCTTGGGCTCAAGCAATCCACCTACCTCAGCCTCCCAGAGTGCTGGGATTACAGGATGGGCCACTGCGCCCAGCTTACTGCAGGGTTTGTTGCTGCTTTGGTTTGAGATGGAGTCTTCCTCTGTCGCCCAGCCTGAAGTGCAGTGGCACGATCTCAACTCACTGCAACCTCTACCTCCTGGGTTCAAGCAATTCTCCTGCCTCAGCCTCCCAAGTAGCTGGACTCTGTCTCAAAAAACAAACAAAAGAACGAGACCAGGAGTGGTGGCTCATGCCTGTAGTCCTAGCACTTTCGGAGGTCAAGGGAGGCAGATCACTTGAGGTCAGAAGTTCAAAACCAGCCTGGCCAACATGGTGAAACCTCATCTCTACTAAAAATACAAAAAGTTAGCCGGCTATAATGGAGTGCACCCGTAATCCCAGCTGCTCAGGAGGCTGAGGCAGGAGAGTTGCTTGAATCTGGGAGGCGGAAGTTGCAGTGAGCCGAGATCGTGCCACTGTACTCCAGCCTGGGCGACACAGTGAGACTCCATCTCAAAAAAAAAAAAGAAAGGAAGCTGGAAGCCCACCAAGGAGGCTTCTTGAAAAGAGGGTGGTTGGGCCCAGGTGTGTCCATGGGGGAGGCAGAAGGAGTTACCAAGGCTCTAACTAATGGACTAGAGGCAGGTGTGTGGCCAAAAGAGGAATCAGGATGACGCCTGCGCCTGCGAGGCTGCGGGGCTCTGGCCTGGCCCAGTGGGAGGCTTGTGGGCTGGGCAGTGAGTCCTGGAGGCAGAGCACCTGGTGCCCTGCAGATGCTCAGAGCAGAGGTGGGGACCAGGAGGATGGGATGGGAGGAGGGCTGCCTGGGAGAGGAAAGCCTGCCTGAGGAGGGTGGGTCAGGGAGCCTGGAGGTCCAGCCCAGGATGTGGGGTCGGGGGGTGACAGGCACCCTTGTCTCCTAGAGGAGCAGCGGCAGCACCCCGGCCTGCAGAGCCAGGTGCAGACGGTGCTGGTGCGCATGGGTGGTCTCTTCGTGCTGCTGCTGACCGTGGGCCGCTGGCTGGACCTGCTGGGCATCCTCATCTCCCTGCTGGGCGAGCTCTGGTGTCTGGTGGGTGTCCGCACCCTGCTTGACCTCTGCCAGATACAGGTGGGTACCCCCTTCCCATGTGTTCCCCAGACACTGAAGCTCCGCTTCAAACAGCCGAGGAGCCCCAAGAGGCCCAAGTTTAAGAAGAGTCAGCTGGGCATGGTCACTTACACCTGTAATCCCAATACTTGGGAGGCTGAGCCCGAGGATCACTCGAACCTGGGAGGTGGAGGTTGCAGTGAGCCATGATCGTGCCACTGCACCTCAGCCTGGGCAGCAGAGTGAGTCTCTGTCTCAAAAAAAAGCAGAGCCAGGGTGACCTCTCTTGGGAGTCGGGGGCAGGGGAAGCTGGAATCCCCTCTCCTGCCCTCTGTCACCAGACCAGGGCTGTCCTCCAGGTCACTGGCACCCCCTACCCTCTCCACAGCCTTCTCCAGCCTGCAACCCAGAGGCCCAAGTGGGAGGAAGTGCCCGGGTCACTGGAAGCCCGAGGCCCCCAGGGGGACGGGTGAATGGGCAGTCTCATTCTTGATGCCTTTCCCCAGGACTTTCCAACCCAGAGGCCTTCAGTGTCAACGCCAAGCCAGCCCCTGCCCTCCACACCCCAGCCCCAGAGTTCACCCTCCTCCTGACCTGCCTCAGGGAGGATCTGAAGTCTGTCTCAGGCCCACCAGGCTGACCTTTGAGGCCCTGACTCCAGGAAGATGCCTGGAGGCAGAATGACAGGGCTGGCCCCTTCCCAGAGCTCAGTGTAGGCCCTGGGAGCCCCAAGAAGGGAAGGCAGGATTTAGAGATGGGAGACTCTGGAGAGGGGACACCTGAGGGCCCCTGGTTGAACTCTCTTTTTCTCAGAGTGGGCAATGATGCAGTCCCTCAGACCTGCCTTCCTGGGCAGGGGTGGGGGTGGGGGTGCATCCTCAGAAGGGCTCCCCCTTTACTGGCTCCCCTTGCCCTCCTCACGAACAATAAAGACGATGACTTTCTCAAGCTGTGCTTAGACTCACAAACACACAGAGGCTGGGCACAGTGGCTCACACCTGTAATCCCAGAACTTTAGGAGGCCAAGGTGGGTGATCATCTAAGATCAGGAGTTCCAGGCCATCCTGGCCAACCTGGCGAAATCCTGTCTCACTAAAAATACAAAAATTAGCCGGGCGTGGCAGCACATGCCTGTAGTCCCAGCTACTGCAGAGGCTGAGACGAGGCAACTGCTTGAACCCGGGAGGCAGAGGTTGCAGTGAGCCAAGATCGTGTCACTGCCCTCCAGCTTGGGTGACACAGCAAGACTCTGTCTCAAAAACAAACAGAAAGAATCACAAACACACAGAGAGGGAAAGAGGCTTTTCTGAGTCCACACAGCTCTTCTGGCAGGGTCCTGGGATATGTGCCTGTCCTGGGAGACGTGGCTCCTTGCAGACTGAGAAAATGGTTTGGGGTAGAGTGGGGGGGGCATGCAGTACTGAGGTGGCGAGGAGGTGAGGGGGCTGGGGGATGGACACTAGGTCTGGCACCCACCTGCAGTCTTGGGTGGACAGTGGTCACGTCCTGTCCCATCCCAGGCTGGGAAACAGCTGAAGGACACACAATGCTGACAGGGTCTCTGCTGGGTCCCTGCAGTCCCCAGCCCCAACCTTGACTCCTCTAAGGCCATGAGCATCCTTTCCATCTCAGCCTGTTCAGGACCCTGCTCAGGAAGGCCAAAGGGTTGGGTCCCAGCTCCTCCACCTACCCTCTGTGTGACCTTGGACAGGCCACTGTCTCTCTTTGAGCCTAGCAGAAGAATTACCACCGTGTGCTGGGGGCCTGCCATGTGCCAGGTACTTTCACTGTCTCATCTCATTTTGACATCAGCCCCAAGAGGCAGGCACTGTTATCTCCTTTTACAGAGTCAGAAACAGCCTCAGAGAGGTTAAGTGACTTGCTCAAGGGCACACAGGCATTAAGTAGCAAAGCTAGGATTTGAATCCAGGTGGCCTGACACCCAGAGCTCAAGTGCTTTGAATGCTCCCTGCTGACCCTCTTCTTGTTGAAAATCTGGGGCCAGGGAAACTAACAGAGATGAGAAATATGGCACGTCCATTACCAGCAGGTTCTGGAATGTGGTTCCAGCCACCTTGGTGCAAGGGAGCCTGAGGCTCCAATGTTCTAGCTCAGCCCTAGCGCTCAGGGCCCTTTGATTCCATAGGGATCCAGGGCTGCAGCTCAGGGCCCTTTCCTAGGGAAGGCTCCATAGGGCAAAGGAGCCTCCCAGCCAATGGCCTTTCTGGAGGGGTTTTGAGAGGCGTAGGGGTAGCAGGGAAGGCATCAGGGAGGGGAGGCCTGGAGAGGGCACCTTGAGGATTCCAGGCTCTGCTGGGTCCCTACCTGTGGGCAAAGGCACCACACTCACCTGACAGCTGCTCTTGGGAGCAGGCAGGGGTGGCCCAAGGATCCTTCATGCTCCATGCTCAGCACACCTGGGATACGGAGCAGGCTGCACCCAAGGCTGGGCCGGGTGGTTTCAGCTCATCCATCCAAGAATGGCCACCCCTTGGACAGCTCTGGCCTGGCCTTTGAACCTGAACCTGAACCTGAAGAGGCCTCTCATCCCAGGGTGTGGTAGCTGGGGTGGGGGAAATGCCTGTGGAAGCCCCCTCCCCCAATACAGGACCCAGTCCATCCCGTCTGGGAGTGTGCTCTGTTCCCTCCGGGCAGGAAACCTGCCCCAGTCTGGGAGGAAATGGCTCAGTTAGGTGGGCACAGGGCCAGCCCCTTGCTGGACCCAGCCTGGGCTCTGGGATCCAAGCGGGGGCCAGTGTTTTTGCTGGAATGTGCTTCAGCCTCTCAATCCCTGGCACAGCCTGGGCCCCATTAGGGACAGGGCCAGAAGGGGACCAGACTCAGCGGTCCTTTCCGTTTTATGGGCACAGGGATTGTTTTCCAAACAAAAATTGGGACACGTGGGCTGGAGTAGGATTCTTTACTTATCGAATTATTTTTGCGAAAAGACTGGCAAGGGCATAAAATGAGCCCACTCTAAATGAGGCATTTAGCAAATCTCCACACCAAATGGAGAAACGTGGCCTGAAATCCAGCAGGCATAGGACAATCCAAATTGTACTGTCTGATCAAAGCATGAGGCTGGGACCAGTTCCCATGGGGACCCTAAGAGCCTGAGCCCTGGGCCCTGACCACCAGGACCAAGGTCCCAGGGTGAGGGCATCATGCTGAAGAGGTAGGGAGCAGTGTCCCCACGCTCTACGTAAAGTGGGTAGTGACCTCTGGGTAGCTGGGATTGGGGTAAGCTGGCCTCCCCATCCTGAGCCCCCCACTTCCGTTTTTTCTGAGCCCTGGCATTTTCCTTCTGTGAGGGCCTTGCATTTCTTCACCCATTCATTCATTCAGTAAGTCATCACTGAGAACCAGCCTGGAGCCAGGCATTAGGCCGGCATTGGGGATGCTGAGAGGAGTAAGGGAAGGTTCCCTCCACAAAGTGCTGCAAAAAAAAAAAATTAAAGCTGGGTTAGGTGCGGTGGCTCATGCCTGTAATTTCAGCACTTTGGAAGCCTGAGGTGGGCGGATCATGAGGTCAGGAGTTCGAGACCAGCCTGGCCAACATCATGAAACCCCGTCTCTACTAAAAATACAAAAGTTAGCTGGACGTGGTAGCTCACGCCTATAGTCCCAGCTACTCGGGAGGCTGAGGCAAGAGAATTGCTTAAACCCGGGAGTCAGAGTTTGCAGTGAGCCGCGATCACACCACTGCACTCCAGCCTGGCGACAGAGCAAGACTCCGGCTCAAAAAAAAAAAAAAAAAAAAAAAAAAAAAAAA